CTGTATTGAGTCTTAATAATAATTCCTACTACATGCTTTATTTTTATCTGCAAGCAGGAGCTGTCCAGTAATTTGAAACATAAGAATCAGTGAGATCTAGCTATTACATCATCAGCAACCCAACATTCTTTCCTTAAGGAGTTAGCCTTTGCCTGGGTTATTTAGACCTGGGGCTTTTTAGGGAGAGAGTGACATTATTTGTTCTACATCTGAAACTGGTTTATGTCTGCCTGAAGCCAGCCTGGAGACATCCAAATTCCTTTTGTCTGTGAGTGAATTGGAAATAAATCTGGGTGATGAACCTGATCACTCTATCATCCCACAGCAAATCTTCTCATTCTTATGAAAGTACCTTTATTATGTCATTTCTTAAAGAATGAGAAGGGAAAATAGTCATTATTGCTTCTTTCCTCCTGGGCACCATAAACTTTTTTTTCTGTTATTGTAACTTAAGAAAAATTACAGTACCAGAGAACATGACTTAACCTTTATCCCCTGCCCTATTCCCAACCAAGTGTCTTAGTTTCCTTCCTTATTGAATTTATTGAACTTTCTTTTCCTGTGGCCATTTCCTTTATGGAATTGTTATTATTTTAGCACTTTAACCAAGCTTGTAGGGTTACATATATACCACTCTGTCCTAATCTAAATGCATTGATGGTACTTTTTGCAGTCATCTTATTTGCTATCTGAATACTTTTGATAGTATTTGTATAGAATGGTATAGTGTAAAGAGCCAGAGAAAACTGTAATCTGAATCGTGATTTTGACATTTGCTTTTTTTTTAAAAAAAAAATCTTGAGTGAGTTTGTTAAGCTCTCTGAAGCATAATTCATTGGCAAAATGAGACTGATAATAATTAAAGTGTAGGGATAACGTAAAGGTAGAAAATAATGTATTAAAGATGTTAGTAGGTACTCAGTAAATAATAAATTTCATATGGCAGGTAGCTGATGCAATGGGAAAAAAATTATGGGTTTGAAGCCATTTAATCATTTTAGGATAGGATTATTAACTGTCCTTGTGCAAGTCACTGATCATTCCTGAGCCTTTGGTCTTCATTCATAAAATGGCTATTCTAACCTCTATCGAGGATTAGAAATGAGAAATGTAAAGGTCTTACCTTGCCAGTGCCAGGGACATAGCAAGGATTTGTTCTTATAGTGTTTGTTGCTTAAATTTTTATTGAATTACCTTTTTAATGTATTTAAGTTATCCACTATCTTTTTTTGTTGTTGTTGTTGCATTTTAGGTTTTGCATCTTGATTTTATTACCACTTTTATAGACCGTTTTTTTTTGTGTTAAGGTTAGCCTTAGAACTAAAGTACATCTTCCAGACTTAGAACTAATGTGTCACATATTTCCCTCTTACAAATTGAATTACATATGCATAGAAAGCATTTTTAAAGGTCACTCATAGATTACCATTGCTCTTCCTTATTCTCTTAATTCAGTAGATAATCCCAAGGCAGAGTGAAATAAATCTGCTGGCTGATGTATCACAAGCTAGAAAATAATTCTCTGTGAGTGAGAGACAGAGAGTATAATTCTCACCTGAGCTGGGGATTTGGAAAATTTATGATTATTCTCTACTAGCTGGTAAAGGCAGTGTGTTAAGGTCAGCTAGTTCTGGGTTTAAATTGCAGTTTTACCATATTCATGATTTTGAGTGTATAATTTAGCCACACTTCTCAATTTTTTCCATCTGTAAAATCCAAATAGTGACATTCCTTGGTAGGCAATGAGATACATTTACAAAGAAACTAATATAGAAATTTAAAAACTGTTTTATCTTGTGACCTACTTTGACCAATTGGTAGTGGTTGAGTGGGGCAATGTGTTAAGGCCACTTAAGAGGCTAAGTGAGAAAAAAATTCTGCATGTCCAAATGTATGAAGTAGGAGGAGTAAGTGAACATGAGTCAGACATTTGTCACCTGTAACTTGCCACTGTAATCCATAGTAAACACTCAATTATTATTGCCATAGTCATCATTGTTATTATTAAGACACAATGAATGGTTACATGAAGTTCTTCAAATTTGTAATAAGTGGTACCTGAGTAGGCTAGTTATTTATCAGTTTTCATATACTTGCTAAGATGTATGATATATTACATTACTTATTTGTAGCACTTTAATATTTTCTATCTTGCAAGCTTTACAAATTAATAAGTTGCTTAGGAGTTCTTAAGAAAATGGACCAGTCATTAATTATTGAGCAAATTAATAATTTTTTTTTTTTTTAGATGGAGTCTTGCTCTGTTGCCCAGGCTAGAGTGCAATGGCACAATCTTAGCTCACTGTAACCTCTGCCTCCCGAGTTCAAGCAATTCCCAGCCTCAGCCTCCAGAGTAGCTGAGATTACAGGCATGAGCCATGGTACCCTGCTAATTTTTGTATTTTTAGTAGAGACGGGGTTTTCATCATGTTGGTCAGGCTGCTCTTGAACTCCTGACCTCGTGATCAACCCACTTCGGCCTCCCAAAGTGCTAGGATTACAGGTGTGAGCCACCATGCCCAGCTAATATTTTATTTTAAAATAGATTTTAATAGTGATATATTTCTGACTTGGGAAAAAGCAAGTATACTTTCTGAAATAATTTTTATATATTAACAAAATAATAAAGATTTCTATTTCAAAAGTACTCTGGAAATGGGGTTATCTCACACTCTTTTTCTGTACAGAAGACCTACTGTTATTATCCTAAGAATCAGGTAAATTTTTATGTGAAAAGTAGAAGCTATATTAAATACAATGGTTGTACAACTTTTTAAAACTGACTTATAAGCACTTGAAGAACCAAAGAGAATTTCAGGTTGATTCCATGTGGAACCTGTAATTTAGGCCCGTATTCCATCTGGCTTTATTTAAGATATAAATATATGGATATGTTTTATCATACTTGCTTTACATTTTTCAATACTTGAGGGTTTGTCTATCTTTTCTGTTATATAAATCATATAGTATTGTTTGAGTATAAAGTGATTCACTTTTCCTAAGAAGTTATGATTTGCTTTATTTGGGAACACTTGTTAGTTCAATATGGCAAGAAAAAGTGTGTCAGTGCTTATAGAGAGATGAAAATAAAAACAAAATTATTACAGAAATGTATGGAAATTTAAAAGAAATTCATTTTTAATCTATCATTTTAACAATTGTAAGCATTTTTGTGTATTTTATTCCAATCTTTGATCTTTGCTTCAGTATTTCTTTTGTCTTACCTTAGACATGTAATTTAACTTCACCAACTTCATAAGTGCAGATATGTTTTAAACTTTGAGGGGAAAAAATAAAACATTTTCAACTATCATTTTTATGATAATATAGTTTAAAGATTGTTCATTGAACTAGAAACACATAGATCTGTGTGAGTGGGTAAAAATGTATATTTTTGTGTATAGTATGTGTTATTTGTCACCAATATTATTTACTATTCAGCAAAGCAAAGGGCATTCAAAAGATCAAGGGACTCAATCTAATTGATTCACTTAGTCAAACATATTCTTATTTATAATACTGTGGCAATATAAGGTGAATATGTTTAAAACAAAGGGAGTGAGTTCTTCCTTTCAAGCAAAAAATGTACATCCAATGTGGATAATTCATTTACAAAAAGCCTCTGATTATGCCTCTTAAAAAAAAAAGCTTTCATGATTATGATTTCTTATTCTATAAAGGTCTGACGGGAAAATAACGCAGGTTATCAGTCTGCTGCTTGGTCTCAGAAACTGAGTAGTGTCTCTACATTTGCAATGCTTAGTAAAACTACAATATTTAACTTAAATACATAAATTATCTTAAAATACAGTTTTTGCATCAGTTGGCTATTTTGTTCACCATATAAACATATAAGGGAAAGGGGAATGAAAATTCATAGGCAGCTGGTATACTTTTGACTTTATTTCCAGCTTTTTTCTCCTGCTTGGCTCTTAGGGCAGTGCCGTTTGGTAGCTGACACATATATTATTAGAGAGTAATGACTTGTGGCGAAAATGCTTCATGCTCATGTTGTATGTAGTGCTGGGCATGCTTGATAATTGTCATCTGTTTATTGAATATTCCAAATGAAACTGGTAAATTTTACTTAATTATATTATTGATAATTAATAATTTTAACTATTTAATGAATTAACAAAAATAATTTCATAATTTTTTTAGACATGGTCTCACTCTCTTCCCAGGTTGGAGTACAGTAATATGATCAGGGCTCTCCTTGATCTCTTCAGGCTCAGGTGATCCTCCCTTCTCAGCCCCCCAAGTAACGAGACTACAGGTGTGCAACATCACACCTAGCTAATTTCCTGTGTTCTTTATAGAGATGGATTTCACCATGTTGCCCAGGCTGGTTTCTAACTCATAGACTCAAGCTATCCACCTGCCTTGGCCTCCCAAAGTGCTGGGATTACAGGCATGAGCCACCTTGCCCTGCCTCTCTTTACTTATCAATGATATAAAATTCAAATAGTTTCTAAAAAAATTTAGCAGCAGTGTTTAGTCTACATATACTTTTAACTCTTTCAATTATTCTTTCTCAGAAAGGTAAGTCCTTTGTGGACAGGATCTCACACTTTTTTCATATAGTGCCTTTATAAGGCTGTCCACTTAGTTATTCTCTAAATACTTGAATTTCTAAAGGAATCAGTGAATGTGAATAAGAAAGAACAAAAGAATAAAGAACAAACATAGCTTTCAGAAAGAAAAAGAAATGACAACAAGGGACATATATCTGGGAATCAGATGTTCTATGTTAAAAATCAAAGTTTTACTATCTATTAAATTTTTGACTTGAGCCATTTTACTTCATTTTCCAAACACATGATTTTTCTTCTGTCAAAGGGAAATCAGGATGACTTCTTTGGGAATCAGATAAGAACAGGAATGAAAGTACTTCCCACAGCATCTGAAATTCTATGCACTCTGATGACGACAATGCTATTGCAAATACTGTGGGAAAACTGTATCCTCCCTTTGATCTTTATGATTAATTCTCTTTCCAGGTGAAGCATACATGCGTTTAAGCAAACTCCCCGAAGCAGAACATTGGTATATGGAATCACTGAGATCCAAGACTGACCACATCCCTGCTCATCTCACCTATGGGAAGCTGCTAGCTCTAACAGTGAGTAACTGCCTTTCTTGGTCTTTAAAACTTGGTTTTCTTGCCGGGTGTGGTGGCTCTCACCCGTAATCTCAGCACTTTGGGAGGCCAAGGAGAGCAGATCGTAAAGTCAGGAGTTTGAGACCAGCATGGCAAACATGGTGAAACCTTGTTTCTACTAAAAATACAAAACATACAAAAATTAGCCAGGTGTGGTGGCAGGTGCCTATAGTCCCAGCTACTGGGGAAGCTGAGGCAAGAGAATTGTTTGAGCCAGGGAGGTGGAGGTTGCAGTGAGATCATGACACTGCACTCCAGCCTGGGCACCAAAGTGAGACTCAATCTCAGTAATAATAATAATAATAATAATAAAGTAATTATAAAACTTGGTGTTCTCCATGCAGACTTGGATAGATGGAGTTCAAAGTACCATTTCAGAGCCAGTTAACTCAGCTGGTAGGGATAAAATGGTGATGATACTATGTAGAAACTGTACAGAAAATATAGAAAAATGTGTTACTTTCTCTATGACGTGTAGTCTAGATAAGACGTGAGATGTCTGTATCTCACATCTTGGTCTAAAGAAGATGTGAGATGTCTGTATCATGCCTGTATCAAAACAACTCCTGCATCTCATAAATATATACGTCTACTATGCACCTATAAAAAATGTTTAAAAGAATTAAAAAGATAAAACAAACAAACAAACAAAAAAGATGTGAGATGCCATGATCCTCGAAGCAACTTAATGGAAAAATAGAAACGGAGAATCTCAAATATGGAGTTACATAATGAATTTTTGTTCTAATAATGACATTTGCATAAATATTATGTTCTGCAAACCAGTGTTAGCCCCAAATTGGCTATAATTAGAACTAAATCTGATTCAGCCAGGCGCAGTGGCTCACGCCTGTAATCCCAGCACTTTGGGAGGCCGAGGCGGGTGGATCACGAGGTCAAGAGTTTCAGACCATCCTGGTCAACGTGGTGAAACCCCGTCTCCACTAAAAATACAAAAAAAAATTAGCTGGGCATGGTGGTGCGTGCCTGTAATCCCAGCTACTCAGGAGGTTGAGGCAGGAGAATTGCCTGAACCCAGGAGGCGGAGGTTGCGGTGAGCCGAGATCGCGCCATTGCACTCCAGCCTGGGTAACAAGAGCGAAACTCTGCCTCAAAATAATAAAGAAAAAAGAACTAAATCTGATTCTTGTACATAGCCAACATTGTATAAAACTATATGTACTGAAATTCCTTCCAATTGAAATCATTCTGTAAGAGAGGTAGAGCTATCCTATGGCCTCTCACTGTGTGACAGGCACCCTTGGAGGCCACCATTCTATGAAAGTGACATGAGTATGGAGCATTGGAAATTACTAGTATTGCACCACTATGACCTATAAAAATGGTAATTTCATATATTTCAAAGTAATACTAATGTCTTTGTTTTACACAATAGGGAATAGTTTAAAATTTTAAGTAACTTTTCTGAGCTCACATAGCCAGTAAGTGATAGAACTAGGCTTCAATCCTAGTCTGAATCAAATATCGGTTATTTTAGTTATAGTACCTAATCTATCTCCAATATTAATAAAAATAAATGAATATTAGAAAGACATACAGCAAATGATCACGAAGGTGATTCCTAAGTGAATTCATAGAAAAATATTTTTGTATTACTTCAAAAAATAATAACATTTTACTTTCCACAGAAGATGGTAGATAACACTTAAAATTGTCATGTGTCCATTCTAAGATACCATGAAAATGGTCTTAAAGAAATCATGTAACACTTTAGGAGGCTGAGGCAGACAGGTCACCTGAGGTCAGGAATTTGAGACCAGCCTGGCCAACATGGCGAAACTCCATCTCTACTAAAAATACAAAAATTAGCTGGGTGGGGTAATGCATGCCTATTACCCAGCTACTCAGGAGGCTGAGGCAGGAAAAATCACTTGAACTCGGGAGGCCAGTGTTGCAGTGAGCCAAGATCATGCCACTGCACTCCAGCCTGGGCAACAGTGTGAGATTCCATCTAAAAAAAAAAAAAAAAAAAAGGAAAGAAATCATGTAGGTAGACTAAGTAACCAGAAAACTTCCCACTAAAAATACTTAGATATACTTAGTAAAATATAGCAGATATGTGTTAACACTAAACTGAGCTTGAATAGTAAGAGAAGTTTCCTAGGAGCTAGAAATAAAGTGATAACTGAATACCAGAGAAGTGGATAGTAGGCTGGTCCTGAAGCTCATTTGGGATTATTTACTGATGTTGGAAACCAGTGAGAAGGTGGTTTTTGTTTGTTTTCATTATTTCTAGAATAGGAAACAACGCTTTGGGCCAATGGAAGGCCAGGAATTAATTGCCTAAATAAAGCAGGGAAATTCACACCTGCAGTTGAAGGGAAAACATAAGTTTGTCCACAGGTAAAAGAAGGCAGCGTGAGTGTTTGCCTATCTCAGAATGGGATCTGGCCGGAGAGTGAACGAAGTATCTGCTGGAAATTTGTTGCTACTGTCCTTCCTTTACCATGCTTTGGGTTTTGAATTTACCTAAGTGTCCCTGGAATTCCCAAGCCCAGGGAATTCCAAAGCCAGATTAAATAAAATTTAGTCTACTAAAAACTTTTGCTGAAGAAGTTACTGGAGATGTTCTTCAAAAGAACATAAATCTAGAAGGAATGATAGAGTGAGGTGAATAAAAAAACTTTGGGCAAAGAAATTGGAGATCATGTGGAGAAATCAGACTAAGCTTTTAATGAATAAAATATTGAAGGAATAACTATACAGGAATAGTTGGAATGGGAAGAGAGATTTCAATGGATAAGAGATTACAGCTGAATTTTGAACTGAGAAAGCAGTTGCAAGTATTACAACTGACTTGTCTGAGAGAAGGAAATGAAAATCTAAATAAGCTTTGGATAACAATGAAAAGAAATCTTATTTACACCAAAGAAACCTGGAGAGGCTTGAGACATGGAGGCAGCTGACACAAGAAAGGGTGAGTTAAGGGACATAACATGGGGTAGTAAATTGCAGCCATTGAATGGAGTAGTCAGTTCTCTCCCCTTTGTCCATAAATGCCAGCAACTAGGCACCTGCCTTCAAGGTAAGGGAAAGGTGCCCTAAGAGATAGTACAAGTAAATAAAGAGAAGTTCAGGATTCAGGAACAGCTTGTACAGTTGGAGGCAGAATGAGAAGAGGAGTGAAAAGAGGATTGATTGAGGGTCCTCCCATGGGGTATTCAGATCTTTAATATCCCTCCCCTACCCTATCCAAAATACCGACAACACAGGGTTTACTCTCTTTCCTCTAGCCCACCATTTTTGCTTAGACGTTACCTCTCAAGAAGTTGTTGAATTTTGATCTGGAGAAACTGACTCATAATAAGGAATAGGTTTTCAAATACCTACATTTAGAGGTCCCCTGTAAATGACTGGCTCTCAAACCAGACACAGCAGAGTGAATCTATTCCATCTAGAGTGCCTATCTATGCCTTAGGAACTTGATTCAGCTTTTATTGATTATCTCATTCTTAAATATCAGTGGGTAACCAGGATTTGTCACTCGTATCAGGAAAGACACAAATGAAAAAGACTGGAACTAAAACAAATTATTAGGAGAAGGAATCCTAAGGAAGCAAAATAAATATTTAAAGGAATAATAATCCTTAGAAAGAGATAGAAACATATACCATTTTATGAAGCAGGATGCCGTGAAAAAAGAAACCAAAAAAGGCAAGGAAAAGCTTTTAGAAAAATATGATTATAAAAATATTTTTATCATCATTAAAAATATGATAGCAACATGATTTTCATTTGGAGGACAGAAGAATGAAGGTAATGAAATCTTATATGCTAACAAAAAGATGAGGATGCAAAAGAGGGAAGTTATGAAGTAAATCAATATGGGGTCCAAATGGCTGAGAAAGTACAGAGGAAGGGAAAGAACTGTAACTAAGGATTGAAGAGTACAGTTGCTGTTTCTGCTATTTACAGATTCTTCTAGTTTAATCACCTGGGAAAAGTTGTTTTACCCTATGAAAACCTTTTCCCATTTCAGTGCTGATGATTCTGTGTGATGTGTGGTGTTTCACACAACTCCATGTAAGCATTAAATTAATGTAGCTAAATTAGACTGATACATGACCACCTTCAAAAAAATCTCTAAAATTTTCAGATGCCTGATTCACTGCCCCCCACCCCCAAAAAAAGTTAGAAGAGAAAAAAAAGTAAGCTTAAATTTCCATGAATCTATATATGCTTAGACCATAACACTGGATATAGAAACCATGTGACCTTTCTAAAAAAAAAAAAGTTTCAAGCCTGAATACTTAGGTTTCCTGTACCAAAAATATGATTTTAAAGGCTGTTTTATTCTTTTCAGAAGGCTTTTTTTTTTTTTTTTTTTTTTTTTTTTTTTTTTTTTTTTAGATTTAGAGGTTTTAATTTACCAAACCATATGGAAGGGAAGGAAAGACTCCTATACTACAATCCAAATTTTTAATCTCCCCCACCAAGACTTTTATAGTTTCCGACTTGCTGATTAGATGAAATACAAACCCCATTATGGAATGGCTTAAACTCGCAGTGCCAAAACCCCACAACCATCTTTAACAGTTTCTTTCTAAATTATGGCGTTTGGCAAATTTCTGATCCCTATGGATAGCTTTTCTCTAATTTGGGGTTTCTTGGCCTGGTGCAGCCCACTGGCTCAACACAGAATTTGCAAAGGTAGAAAATACCACACATTTTGACTTCTGAATGCTTTAAATATATTATAAAATGGAATTGGCTGCTAGTCTCAAGAGAAGAGGAATAGAAATTAAGCGGTGTTTTCACTCTTTCATCAAAACTGACCGAAGGCAAAATTTGTAAAAAATAAAATGCAACTACATTAGACTTAGACTGTAGAATAGAATTTTATATAAGAATTATATGTTTATAAGATACATTAGAACAAAATGTTGATTATTAGTACTTTTATTATAGTCAGTGGAATGATTCACTCAGTACATTTTTTT